TTTTTGCACATTGATAAATTAGGTGTTCCATGATTATCTAGACAAGTTTGTGGTAATCTACTTGGACGATATTGTAATGTACAGTTCAACTTTCAAAGAGCATCAATGGCACTTACAGTAAGTTCTTCGAAGGCTACATGACAACCAGTTCTATGTGAAAAGGGAGAAATGTGCATTCGCATAAACCCGAATTTAGTTCCTTGGCCACATAATTGAACAAGGGCACATCCGGATAGATGTGCAGAAAGTGAAGGCTATTAAAGAGTGGGCCACCCCTAAAAATACAAATAAGCTTCATTTGTTCTTAAGGCTAACCAATTATTATCAAAGTTTTATAGAAGGATATTCAAGAAGTACAATAGCACTAACAAAATTATTGAAAAAAAGGACAAAAGTGGAGTTAGATGTCATAATGCCAAGAAGCTTTTGAAGGCTTGAAAAATGCGATGATGACAGATCTCATTTTATCACTCCTTGATATTGCAAGACCATTCGAGGTATAGACAAATGCATCAAACTTTACCTTTGAAGGAGTGTTGTTACAAGATAGACACCCGGTTGCGTTTAAAAGCCAAACGTTGAATGAAGTTGAGAGGAGATATATGGCATAAGAGAAATAACTACTAGTAGTGATTCACTATTTATAGGCTTGACGACATTGCTTGCTAGGATCACAATTCGTGATTAAGACTGACAACACAGTCATAAGTCATTTCCTCATGCAACTAAAACTTACAATGAAATAGGCAAGATGGGAAGAGTTCCTAACTAAGTTTGATTTCTTCTTTGAGCACAAAGCTAGAAAGGTGAATTCGTAGCTTTAAGAGTGATTGCGCTAGTGATAGCTAGTAAAGTGACTACAGACATTTGTAATCTTATTAAGGAAAACTTGCATCAAGATCCCTAAGTAATGGCCATTATGAAGTTGGTAGAGAGTGAAAAATTGAAATAATTTTGGGTGAAAAATAGACTCTTTCTAATGAAAGAACCACACATATTTGTTCCAAGAGTGGGAGAGCTTAGGCAAAAATTAATGCGAGAATGTCGAGACACTCTTTAGACAGGACATCCAAGTTGGCAGTTGACCATTAAATTATTGAAACATGGTTACTATTGGCTTCATATATGGCAAGATGTAATAGATTATATGAAGATGTGCCTCATTTGCCGACAAGACAAAGTAGATAAACAAAGATCTATAGGAATGCTCGAATCTCTATCAATGTTGACCAAACCCTGGGAAAGTATTTCTCTAAACTTTATGGTAGGACTTCCTAGAGAAATGACAACGATCTTGGTAATGGTGGACCATTTCTCTAAGTAAGTGACATTCATTTTGATGTAGAAGTTTAGCTCCATAGAAGAAATGGCTCATACGGTTTTTAAACATGTGATAAAATATTAAGATGTTCCTAAAAGCATTATCAGCGACAAAAATTTAAGGTTTACAACCTTTTTCTGAAAAAAGCTTTTCAAGCTATTGATGTTAAAACTGAACATATCTTCCAATTATCGCCCCACAAATAGATAGTTAAATATAATTCTTCAATAGGTTGTTAGAAGAATACCTATGACATTTAGTATAGCCAAACTAGAAGAATTAACTTAACCTATTAGATATGGCTCAACTATCTTTCAATTCACAGAAAAGCTCAACCACTAATAGATCCCCTTTCGAGGTCGTCACTGGACAATAACTTAGATTTCTCCATACCTTAGTGGAATCCTATAGCGGGAAGAGTCCCCGAACATTTAACTTTGGTAAAGAGTGGAGACAAAACATTGAAATTGACAGAGCCTATTTAGAGAAAACTTCTAGCCGTATGAAGAAATGGGTAGATAAAGGTTGAAAGGAGCAACACTTTAAGGTGAGAGATCTAGTGCTGGTGAAGTTGATACCTGAAAAGCTTTGATTCCTATAGAAGAAGGATCCAAGACTAGTATGAAAGTATAAATGTCTAATATTAGTTGTAGCCAAGGTAAGGAAGACTTCTTATAGGATTAATCCACCTAAGTGGATAAAGGTACGCCCCTTGTTTCACGTCAGCAACCTAAAACCATTCCATGCAGAG